TAAGGAGATGTTGCGATGAAAGCACATGTTGTAAGTGTAAGTGTTTGAGATGTTTCAGAGGTATGTTGCAAAAGTAGATCGGGGATGCTGCAAGTGTTTCAGAGGCATATTGCGAGTGTTTCAGAGGTTGTTCAAAATATTTCATCTGTCTAGACGTATGCTGCAAGTGTTCTGGATGTTGAATATGTTTCGCACATATGTTGCAACTATATGTTCCAAATGTTTTAGTTATTCCAGTCTTATGTTGTAGTAAGTGTTTTCATGCTGCAAGTTACAAGTGTTTTATCTGGATGTTATATATGTCTCACATATATATTGCAATTATATGTTCCAGATGTTTCATCTGTTTCATACGTATGTTGCATTCAAGTGTTTAATGTTATACGTGTTTCACGTTGTTCGGAGAGTTAGGGAGTGCGGGCAATGATGGTGGCACAGCACGAGCGCCGGGGAATGGGGCGCAGTGAGCTAGGGCCCGACGGACATGGCGCGCTCAGAGCCGACAGTCGGGGGCGCTGGTCCATGTGCGGGGTGGGTCGAGTTGGCCTCGAATCGGACAGGACGGGCAGCGCGGGCGAGGCGAGTCGGCCGGACGCGCTGGCGCTGCGAGGGGCAGGTGTGCGTGCCAGGCAAGAAAAAATCAGCGGACGGGACAGGTTGCGCGGGCACCCGCTCGTTCTTTTGGACGGTCCGGGCGCTACACTGCCGTTGCGTTGTTCTTTAGGGCCATCGAAGTGATTAGCAGCTGCACTGAAAACGGCACACAGTCATGGCGGCGACAGTGGCATGTGAAGCCGGCTTATATGAGCAGCCGCCCATCATCCATCGACCTCGGAGCCGGTGAACGTGCTGCGGCCTGCGGATAGGTAACCCCTCGCCGTTCGATCCCAATTACAGACGGACCAGATCACGAAGCAACGGAAGGGCCCACACGTGTTTTTTCACCAAGGGACCCCCGAGACCTCCCACTCACTTCCTTCGAGTCGGGGCCTACGTGCCGCCGCCCGGCCCGCTGGCTGCTGTCTCCATCTCATCGCCGATGTTGCGGGTCGCGTGCGCACAAAACTGTGGCGGAGATACGTATGGAGGCACCCAATGAGCCCACGGTGAGGGAGGCATGCGCGCCCCATGGGATGCGGTGGGGGAGGGCGCCCCGCGCCGGCGAGCGGGTGGTGAGCTAGTGCCTTGGATGACTAGGCGAGTCGGCGAGCAATGGTGCGTTCTGACTTTTGAGTAATCTAGTAGCTGTTACGTGTTGCTCTTGGAATTTTAAGATGCCATAGTTTTCCTTCTTTTGTCAGCTACTCTTGTACAACGGCATTGCATTGCAAATGTTGCAACAGCTAGAAGGGCCAGTTTGGGACTAAGGTTGTGTTTGAATCCATTTACTCTAAACTTTAGTCCAGCTGGGGTGTTTGGATCCATGACAAAAGTTTAGTCTTCCATCCAAAAATAACTGATTTACCCCTCATTTAATTAAGCCTTGCACATGCACCAGCCGCACCATTCCCTCTCTCTGAGTCACAGACAGCCAAGGCCCGCCAATTCCCACCCTCGTCTTCCACCTTAGGACGCCGGTCCTATCCTCTCTGGCATGACCGGTGAGCCGCACGATCAAGCCCGCGGACCTAGCCGCCCTCCTCCCGCGTCCCTCGCCCGACAGCCGCGGTCCACTCTAACCCGCTCTCCTGCCCGCCCGAATCGCGGCCGCCATGCACCCGAGCTCCACGACCCTCCTCTCCTCCCTCTCCTCCGGCCTAAGAACCGCCCCGAGCTCCGCACCTACACGCCGCCCCCATCTCGCCTCCTCTTTCGCAGATGACCGGAAGGGGAGATGGCGCCGCCGGTGGTGGAAGGGAAGGGGCGCGCCGCCGCTGGTGGAGGAGGAGGCACCACGGGAGGGTCTCCTCCGCCTCCCCTGCATGACGCCAGTGGGAGGAGGGCTCCATTGGGCGCCATCGCCAGCGAGGATGATACGGGCGTAGGGGAGGAGATGGGGCCGCCGCCACCACTCATGTGCCGTGCGTGAGATGCGGTGCTGGAGAGAATCGAGGAGAGAGAAACGGGCGCGAGCGTGGGGGGTATGGGGCGTCCGGCTCGTCCCCCAAGGTGTTTTAGCTCAGTTTTGCACCTCGAGGAGCAAATGGACTACTACTCTTTAGATTTGTGGATTTGCTCATCTTTAACCTACCTGTTTGGATCTCCATGATAAAAAATGGGCTAAAAATGCAGGATTAAAGATTAGTCCTGACTAAGGTGCTAAAGTTTAGCTCAACATCTTGTTTAGAAAAGATGCTAAAAGGTGACTTTTGAAAGGCGAGGAGAGAGAAAGAGAGTAAAAACACTTTTAGCTCCTTTCAGCCCATGGGCTAATGGACTAATGGGGGCTAAAAATTAGTCCTTCCTTTTTAGCCTATCTGTTTGTTTCCCTCAAAGGCAAAAAGTAGGTAAAAAGTAAAGGACTAAAGTTTAGCCCATAGAAAACAACAGGGCTAATTCCCGGGCATGTTCTACATGTTGTTGCCTTCTTCCCTACATTATTCAGATAATATGGAACTATACTTCATATTCTCATAGATTGCTTTGGAATCTGGATCAAATGGATCTTTGTACTAGTCTAATTGGGAACCTTGTTTTGGTATCACTGTGAACCATGATGCTGATCGCTGAACCGTGTTATGTCCATTAGAAACAGGGCAGAGAATTTCGTGAGTCTACCATATCAAAATGGGCAGTGAAAGCCTAGCACCTTGTGTCCTCGTCCGTTGTGACGCGTCAACGCGGGAGGTGGGACGTGTTCTTAGTTGTAATTTGTGTTCTACCTTAGTGAAGTCAGTGCTCATGCCGAACTTCGGCCTAAAGAAAAAAAAGCTTAGTAGTTCTATAACTATATATGGTGAATTTTTTTTACACGGAGTGTCAATGTATTAACCTCAAACTTCTAAGCTTTGGTACGACCGAGAAAATTCTGAGTCTTCAACAGGCTCGAATATGAAGTAGCACTACTAGTTATCAGAGATTGAATGAGCTGCAATTTTGTCCATGGCACACCAGACTGAAACATTACTACTAGCTGTCCATCTTTATGATGATGACTCGTAGGTTGATGCTCACTTGTCTTGTAAATCTGCTCTTGAAACCTCCGCAGTATTTCATTGCTATTTGTTGATAATTTGATGTTATGGATGTGGAAGGACGACACTTTTCTTGGGTTGGAGAGGCTATTGACTTCTCGGTGGTTAATGTGTTGCTTTTCAAGGTTTTATTTGGGCCTTTTGTTGTAAATTTATGTTTATGGGTGAGACATGGAATTCTGAGAGTTTTCTCTTTTCAGTTATAGTGACTGGGACATGGTGTGTGACTGTCCGTTTCAACTGATGAGATCTTATACTGGGATCATTTGTCTAAGTCTGCAAACATATACTAGGCTTTATTGAACTATACAATTTTGCGTGAGCCATTTATTTGAACTATACAATTATGTAAGGAAATTACTTTTAATAATGCATACACTAGGCTTCCAAATTTTAGAATTAAAGAAGTCCAATCAAAATTTCGTCATTGATTGTTTTCTTTCCCCTTCTTTTGTAATGTTCCTTCTACACATATCTTCTTTTGCTCGCTTCCTTATGTCCCCTCTCTTTTTTTTTTTCCGTCTTCCCTCATGGGCCTTCCATATTTTTTTTACTTGTTGGCTGTTTCTCCTCCTTTCTATATGCACAACATATTCTTCTATTTTACAGGCCACTCATGCTAAAGTGATCTATTGTTTTTCTGATTCCTAGAGAACTCAGTCTGTGTCATCATATCCATTTTAGCGTGTGGCCGGTACAGTGCTACCTGTTTTGTAGATCCATAGGGCCATTGAATTGAACAAAAAGCATGCTTTGCAAGGAAGACGATCTAGGTTCCCCAGTGACCAAGCATGCCTTTCAAGGAAGACGATCCATTTGGGGATGTTCTTGATTGGTTGTGGCTCACTAGCGAAGGGTGGTGATTTTGCCTGTGACCATTTATCGACATTTCTGTGTATTGCCCAACTGGATCTATTTTCCAAAATTATGTGCAAGCCTAGCTTTGAGTATCACGTCATTTTGCCAATCAGCAGCTAATTTTGTAATGGCATGGCCGGTTAGAATGCTCATCTATTTTTATTCATCTTTTTTAAACCTTTGAACTGGCTCAGTACAACACTACAATAGCAACTGAACATTATTCAGGCTGTTGTTGCCAAATACAGACTGTTATCTTCATTTCATTGTCATGTGTCCTGTAATAATGTTTTTGCATTCCCCTAGTACTTTATAATAATTGGTTGTGGATTATATGAAAACTGAAACATTTGTGGACAACTTCTGAAGCTAACCAGATTTCAAAATTTAAATTTTTTCAAATATTTCTGAAGCTAATCAGTAAGCTCTAGCAGCAGACCAGATGACACCCGAAAGACCTGAAGGAGATCTGCTTGACCAGTAGCAGAGCTCAAAGAGAAATTGCAGCACCGGTAAACAGCTTTCCTTCAGGCCGTGGTGGCACCTGCACCGCATGCCTCCCTCCCTCGTCCTGTTCACCTTCCTGATGGCACCACACCACCATTCCCGGGGTGCACGATCGAATGCTTGATGCAACTGATGTTGATGCTCCCTTCTCTCCCTGTCCCCAGGTCTCACCTGGCCCGCCAGAGCAGCTGGGGACACGGTCTACTCTGGTCCTGGATTTCAAGGTCTGGACTCCCACAGAATCCTCTCCCCTTCCCTCGTTGCGTAGCTCTTTAAAATTTTACCTCGTGTCCAGTACTTGGAAATAGAAGCTCAATTACATGTAGTTTCAGTTTCAAATTGAGCTTCCCTTACATTCTACAGATGCCAATGGAAGCTCCTCGATGTATATTGTGTGAGATTAATAAGGCCACCTGAATCAAGAAGATTGATTACATGCTCAAAGGGACTAGGAAACCAGAGAATGTGTTCACATATGCACCATGATCACAGCAAAAAGAAATGCGGCTTGCACTTCTTGCTGAACAGGTCAGGGTACACTTTGCCATGATTCTTTATTGGCAACATGGAATGCTTTCCTGGCTCTGTTCAGTGAGTGTGATCCCAGCTGGTGGTGGTAACACGCGAGCCCAGGATACATATAATATTTCCATATGATCTTAGGCGTGTAAACAGCAACTTCTTAGATCACCTAAGCTTCCACAGAAAGTGACCTTTTCTTTCTTTTATTTTGCTCCCCCTCCTAGTTTCGGTCTTTCGTCTGTTTGTTCCTTTGGTGTTTCCTTTTGGCTCCATGGCAGGCTCTTCTTCATACAGTGTTCTCCCTGTAAGTACTCTCATTCTCTCAAATACACAATTCAATTTCTTGCTCAATACAAATGGTATGCCGTATGCAGCTCTGGTACCACCAGTTTGATTCTTGCCACTCTTTCTGCCCCTTGTTTTCTTGATATGTAGGGCTATCAGAGTGAACTGACCATGGACAACGATGATCAACAAATTGGAGTTGCTAAAACTCAGGTTTATCCTTGTTGCCCTTACTGAAGATATGCTTTAGTATTTTCATAAGCTAAATATTTTTGGCTGAAAGATAGTAGTGCTGATTGTAGGGGAAGTATTGGGGCATTTTCATGTGCTGGCTTTTTGGAAATGGATGTCTATTTGGGTTCAATGGGATGCTTACAATTGAAGATTACTACGTGTACCTCTTCCCGGTATGAATGTCCACATGACTATTATTTCCATCTGTTTTCCATGTACCTTAATTTGCTGCTAAAAAAGGCACACAATGCCTTCTGAATGCAGGATACATGCTATTTCCATCTGTTTTCCGACAAGAATTATTACTCTCACCTATCAGCCCTTTGTTCTCGCCACAACCGCCATATTCACGTATCACGAGGCAAATGTCAATACTAGGGTGCGCAACTTGGCAGGATACATGCTATTCTTCTTGAGCTCATTTGGAGTGGTCATTGTAAGCCCTGCTAATTACTGCCTACAAACACATAAATGATCTTCACTTATTTGTTCTTGCTCTGGTAGCTGGATGTTTTGTCTTCAGGAAGTGGTGGAATTGCCCCATTCATTGGTTTCTGTATCATTGCTGCTGCTTTTGGCATAGCAGACGGTCATGTTCAAGGCGGAATGACTGGTGATCTGTCCCTGATGTGCCCAGAATTCGTCCAGGTGCAGTTTTATATAATCACCGTTGCAACAACAATTTTCAGGAAACATTTGTTCAGAATTTGTTTAATATAAACTTACTACTACACTGCTCGGTATGTATGGATTTTCAGTCTTTCTTTGCCGGCGTGGCTGCATCAGGTGCAATAACCGCAGCATTAAGGTTCTTCACAAAAGCCGTTTTTGAGAATTCCAGAGATGGCCTGCGGAAAGGAGCTAGTACGTGGCAACAATCAGATTTGCATTTACCTCATGATTTATAATAAAACCTACCATTACTGATACATATGGATGAAACTAAATTGATTGCAGTGCTGTTCTCTTTGATCTCATGCTTCTTTGAGCTTCTATGTGTTCTACTTTATGCTTTGGTATTCCCGAAGTTGCCAATTGTGAAATTCTACCGTTCAAAAGCTGCCTCTGAGGGGTCTCAGACAGTCACAGCTGACCTTACTGCTGGAGGCATCAAAAGCCTGCCAAGTCCATTGGTACCCACATGACTGATAGAAAATCTTGTTTCAGCTGAAATGCAACCTCATGATGCTGAATTTCTCGTTGATTGGTCAGGCTGAGGAAGATCGTGTGTTTGAACGGTTGAACAACAAGCAGTTGCTGCAGCAGAACATGGACTATGCTCTGGACATGTTCCTGATCTATGTCCTGACACTGTCGATTTTCCCAGGGTTTTTGGTGGAAGACACTGGATCGCACAGCTTGGGTTCTTGGTAATAATCCTACTTTAATTTTTAATTTATCAAGTTGACTATGTTCACCTCCTCTGTAACTGCAAAAATCATTTGTCGTCTAGGTGAGTCATTATTACTTCCATTTCACAATTCAGGTACGTGCTTGTTTTGATTGCGAGCTTTAACGTGTCGGACCTGATCGGAAGATACCTACCTCTGATCGAGCAAATCAAGCTGACATCCAGGACAGGGCTACTAATCGCAGTCATCTCTAGATTCCTGCTCATCCCCGCGTTCTACTTCACGGCAAAGTACGGTGACCAGGGCTGGATGATCATGTTAACGTCGTTCCTTGGACTGAGCAACGGCCATCTCACCGTCTCCATCCTCACCGAGGTGCCAAAAGGCTACAAGGTTGATGTATGAACATTTGAAACCGCCATTGTTGTTTGCAGCAGAGTTTGCTCGGGTTTATCTACATTGCCGGTGTTTTCACTGCAGGGACCAGAACAAAATGCTCTGGGGAACCTGCTGGTGCTTTTCCTCTTGGCAGGCATATTTGTTGGCGCTGTTTCTGATTGGCTGTGGCTCATAGGCAAAGGGTGGTGACCAAACTTATGCAAGCGAGCAGATCATGCAATTAATAACTCATTTCAATAGTTGACAGAAAAAACTAAGTGTATTTTTTATCATAATCAATATGAATGAATTATTCACATGCTATGCAGTTGTCATTGAATAATATTGAACATCGGGAGTTTTAGGGCTAGACCTTTTTTTTAATTTAGTCCTTTTTGAAAGATTTTTACATTTGGATCCCTCAGAGAAAGATTTGCAAAAAAGATCCATAGCTCGGTGCCATGACCTTTGGCTTCCAGGTTACACAGGTAGTTTCTTGGTTTTGTCCTTTTTTCCAACTTTTTTCCTTCTTTCTTTTTCCGTTTTTCTTCTCTCGTCTTGTTTTTCCTTCTGCTGCCGGTTGTTCATCTATTACTCCATCTTTTTGTCGTTTTTTTCCTGATTTTCTTTATAAAAAATAAAAACAAATAATAAATATAATATTTTCGGCAGCGAGTGGCTCAGTGCTGACTGCTGCAACAGCAGAATTGAGGGAGTTAGTTTCTTGATGAACGGCCTAAGGTGCAGGTAAGGTTCCTGAATTGAGATGCCGTCCATTTTTTTGCGACCAAATCCTTTGGACGACACTAATAAGGTATCACAGCCTTCGCCCTGTTCGTTTGGTAGGCTGATAAGCTATAGCTGAAAGTACTGTTGGTTGATTTGGTGTGAGAGAAAAATACTGTTCGCTGGTTGAAAAAGTACGGCTTATAAGTCAAACACGACCAAGCGAATAGGCCGCTTGTCCCTAGTGCTGATTGATATATACCAAAAATCCGTTGGTATGTGCTCTAGGCAACACGGAAACTTACTCTGTTCTGCTTGCGTGGATTATGTGCCATACAATTATGCAACGATTGATGAGCATGGGTTGCCATGTACTAATGGGAATGCAAGAGTTGTCCATGCATTGATTCAACGATCCTTGGAAAAAAATAGTGCAATGATTCATCGAACTGTATTTCTTTTATCCTCAGGCCGGGGACTCAAAATGTTAAAATACTTCCACTTGCCACTGAACAATGGGTATGTGCCTTTGTTATCACCAATTTTTCTTGCCCAGCGTCATGTGTGGATGTGATTGTGATCCCTATGTGCTAGAGTCAACGTATGAAGTAGGCATCTGTATAATACTTCCATTGTGATCCCATCTGTATTTTCTGTTGGTTCATCTATTGTTATTACCTTTCCTAGTCTGCTCTTTATTTCTTTTGCCCCTGCAAACTTCCTGGTCGTCTGCCTATATATGCTTCCCTTGCTTTTCTATGTTTTGATTCACAGCTCGTCATCTTAGAGTGCCATCACCACAAGTACTCTTTGTGTTCCAAGTGATTCGACATATCTTGTGTGATATTTTCCTCTCATGTTTGTTTTTGATCCATAGGACCATCAAAGTGACTACAAAGCATGGCGTACGAGAAAGAAGACCCTGCACTTGCTGCAAATCAGGTTTGTGTTAGCTCTCCTCAGTGAAATGGTCCTGATAACCTTCACTCAATATATTTTGTTTTCTGCAACAATGGTACACTAATCACAGGGAAAACATTTGGGCATTTTCATCTGCTGGCTTCTGGGGAATGGATGCCTCTTTGGGTTCAACAGGCATGCTTACTATTGAAGATTACTACATATACCTCTTCCCAGTATGATTTGTTTGTGTTGTTGTTGTTCTCTACTTAGTTCTGCAACTGTGTCGAAACTACTGATATAAAAGGATGTACTGTTTTATGCTTTCTGATTCAGAAGTATCACCCCACTAGAGTTGTTACGCTTACATATCAACCATTCGTCCTCGCCACAACTGCCATATTCACGTATCATGAGGCAAAGGTCAACACTAGGTTGCGCAATTTGGCAGGGTACACACTATTCTTCTTGAGCTCATTTGCAGTAATCATTGTAAGTATGACTAATTGCATTTTGACGTTCTTGTTTGAATAGTTAATCCACTATCATATTTCACATTTTCACTGATCTTCTCTTAAACATTGCAGCTGGATATTGCAACTTCAGGAAGAGGTGGAATTGCCCCCTTTGTTGGCATATGTATCATTGCTGCTGCTTTTGGGGTTGCTGATGGTCATGTTCAAGGTGGGATGACAGGTGATCTCTCTCTGATGTGCCCAGAGTTCATCCAGGTATCACTTGACAAGAATCTTTTTTTTTCTTGGAAAGATTCAAGAAACACATTTTGAAGTGTAGATTGACTTATGTGTCGATCCATTTTATTATTTTCAGTCCTTCTTCGCTGGACTGGCTGCATCAGGAGCGATAACCTCTGCGCTGAGGCTTGTAACTAAAGCAGCTTTCGAGAATTCCCGAGATGGACTTCGCAAAGGAGCTAGTATGTTGAGACAACTGTTGATAAATTTACATTTGCATCTGTTTACTTCATCTGATATATTTACTTGGGCTACAATTTATGCAGTGCTCTTCTCCTCAATATCATGCTTCTTTGAGCTGCTTTGTGTCCTGCTATATGCTTTCGTCTTTCCCAAGCTGCCAATTGTGAAGTTCTATCGTTCAAAGGCAGCTTCAGAGGGATCTTTGACAGTAGCTGCCGATCTTGCTGCTGGTGGCGTGGAAAATAGCTAAAATCCAATGGTATCTTTTTTTTTAACTCGCAGCAAGTTTCTTATAATTGCATATGATCTGTCGAAGCTAATTTTTTCATGACTTTTTCAGTCCGAAGAAGACCCTTCATGTGTGGAGCGTTTGAGCACAAAGCAACTGCTACTACAGAACATAGACTATGCACTGGACATGTTCCTGATCTATATATTGACTCTGTCCATCTTCCCGGGTTTTTTAGCTGAAGATACTGGATCACAAAGCTTGGGATCTTGGTACTGTACTATCTGAACTTCTGTAGTTTACTTTAGCCAACGAAAGGATGCCGGCGGGGAACGGCGGCGGCCGGCACTCCTCCCTTGGCGTTGGGAAGGGGCTAGGGCGGCCTGCTCCGGCTGCCGGGCCAGGTGACTGCTAGGGCGGTGGCGGTTGTCACCCCCCCTCCCCTCCCCTCCACCCTCCTCCGGCGGGGTGTGGTGGCGGCTGGCCAGATCCGCCCCCCTAGGGCCGGATCTGGTGCGCCAGTAGCCGGCACTCCTCCCCGGCGATGGAATGAGGCCGGGTAGGCCTGCACCGGCTGTCGGGCCGGGTGGCTACCAGAGCGGCGGCGGCACCACCCTCTCCATCTCTGGCGACCGGATTCCCTCGGCGGCGGAGGGCGGTGGCCGGACTCCTCTTCGGCAGCTGCTCTTGGCCAGGGCGGCCTGCTACCCTTCGGCGGCAACTGGGGCCGACGGCGGATAGGGGTGAAAACCCCGCCAAGCTTCGTGCCTTGGGCCGATGACGGTGGCGCGCCATTGTCATCACCTTCTTGGAGGCGTCGTCATATTGCTCAGTTCGTCGTTGGAGGTTGCTAGAGCAAGTTTGGGGAAGAAAGTTCCTTTGGGTGATCCTCACAATGAAGTTGGTGTCCGCGGACGTCATCACCTTCTTGAAGGCTTCGTTGATGCACTCCGCTTGTTCCCACCAAGCCATTCGTTGGGTCTGAGCCGCTCCTTGCTTGTGCTGTGCCTGCCCGTGCTTTTGCTTTCGCTTCGCTTTGGTCCGTCCTCCACGGGTGTTGGTGTTGCCGTAGTCGCTTCATTGGAGCACTTCTGCCACCGTCCTGTTCCTCTCGCCGGAGCCGCTCCTAGCTGTGTTGTTCCTGCCTGTGCTTTAGCTTCCTCTTCGCGTTGGTTTGTCCACCTTGGATGTTGGTGTTGCTGTAGTCGTCTTGATGGACGCTTTGCCGTCGTTGGTCATCTTCTTCGCAGCAACTACCTGGCCGCTTGCAGATACTCGATGGATGCTTTGATGTCGTTGCTGGGTGGATGCTTTGCCGCCATAGTCGCTACCAGTCTGCGGATGCTTTGCCGCGTTGTGCTCGCGAATTTTGCCGCGTTCTTTCCAGTGGATGCTTTGCTACCAAGGCTTCACCTTCCTTGTTGGCAGCCTTCGCGTCGTTATCTTTAGTTGCAGGTCCAGCTAGCTAGGTTGTGGTGGAGGGTCCTTCCCCTGCTAAACCACTCGCTCTGTGGTTTTGTATCCTGCGCTATGGGTTCTCCCATAGTCACGTCGTGTACGCCGCGTGATTTTTTTGTTTTTCAGCCCATTTTTTGAAAGATTTTCACAAATACGCCCCTGGTAGTATCCTTTCAAAAAAATAGACCCTGACCTCGGTGCCATGACAATTGGCGCCGAGCTTACACGTCTGGCGCCGAGGTCTAGGGTCATTTTCTGCGTGTCGTTGACGTGGCTGCTTGCATGGCGCGGACGTGGTATGAGCTCGGCGCCGTGGATCTTGGCGCCGAGCTATGGAAATTGATAAATTTTAATTTTTACCATGAGCCGAGCTCCAGATCAGGTCGCTTCATTGATCTTCTTTGGAGCCGAGCTCTATATCATATCGCCCCGGACGTCTTTGTAGTTGTATCTTCGAGCTCGAGTTCATGAGTGCTAGCTGCGTTGCTTTGCCCAAAGTCATTGTTGCCCATAGTTGTATGCAACTATTACAAGCAAAAAGGGAGGGAAAAAGAACATGGACACTACCAAAATAAGTACGTTAGCAAATGAATTCCTCGCTTGCATGCCAAGGCATTTTGGGCCTGGCCATCACTTTTCTTCTTTCGACAGGAAATGAAATTAATGAGAAACGGAAAAGGCTTGAGATATGATGTTCTGTTGTGTTTGCAATGTCCCTCTCTGAAAATTTTCCAAGGCGTGCAGAAAACCAAAGGCTACGCTGGTGTTGTTGTAGAGAAGCAACATGAAACCGGGTTCTGGAAACAAGGACGCGCGGCGGCAAGACCGCAAGAGGTATCTCTGTTCCTCACACAGAAACCAGAGCCAAAAAGCTTTGTTTATGTTGCCATGTACATTGCTCATACACATGTTCTTTTTTTTCTCCTCATCCCAACAATTCCTTTCCTACTGAATTTCCTAATACAAAATAAAGTATATATATATGAACACATGCATGGAAACTTCCGTATAGCAGGTGCGTACGACAGACTTTTTCTACGATCCGAACAAAGTCAGGTCTTATCGGTTTGTACAGTTGTACGTGCTCCTAGTTTACTCCAAAGTAGCAAAGTACATACATACGACAGTATTGTTAATCAGTTTGCAGGTACCTTTGTCCATGCCGCAGCATCCGTAGACATGCATGCACGCACTTGCTTATATATATATATATATATATATATATATATATATATATATATATATATATATATATATATATATATATATATATATATATATATAACCAACTACAAAATAAGTTATTCTGTAGCCATTTTCATTTACGATAATTTTATATACTAATTTATGATAATGTCAATACATATTTATGATAGTTGGGTTACTATAACACATGGAGATATTTACCATAACGTTATAATAAACCATTTAGTAAGGAGTTACTATAATCTTGTAAATTAACATACTAATTATCGTAACTCAAAGTGGCTACAGAATAAGTTATTTTGTAGCCAGCTACAGGGTAGTAGTTATATATATATATATATATATATATATATATACACACACGTACTGTTATGTTGCTGGCCGCAGAATAAGTTATTTTGTGGCCACTTTAAATTACGATAATTACTATACTAATTTATGAGATTATGGTAACTCTCTCGTAAGTGATTTACTATATCATTATGGTAAATATCATCTTGAATTATAGTAACCCATGTATCGTAAATGTGTATTGTCATTATCGTAAATTGGTACAGACATTATCGTAAATTAAGGTAACCATAGAATACGTTATTCTACGACCAGATGCAGAATAGCCTTACCGTGTAGTTTATACTAGTATACAGTAGTATACAGTAGTTTATATAATGTATTTCTCTGACAATGTCTTCGGAAAACAAATAGAATTAGCTGATCTGATAGATGATGCCTTTCTTCACCTTACTAGTATACAGTAGTTTATACTTCATATATGTAGTTGCATGCCATGTGTGGTATATATATGATGATGCTCGTATCCCGTGTGGTAATTTCGCAGCGTATTTGTAACACCATTGGTGTTACGAACTCGTTTAGCACCGCGATTTAGGCCTAAGAAAAATTTTTGAATCGAGTTTATCGGGTTTTAATTTAAAACGTACTTGAGGCGATAGACGAATCCTGTGACTTAGTTTCATGGACTCAAATAAACGCTCAAGTTAAATCACACCGTGCGTAGAAATATTTAGGAGTGTCCGATAACGATTCTAGCAAGTAAATGGCGAATGGCTTGTTCTGTTGGATTGAACATGAAAAAAAAATTTATAAACAAAAATACGACATGACTGGTAAATAGTACTTAAGTAAAATTCGGAGTATGATTTTGGTTGCAGTTAAAATATCGAGTAACAAACTTTAGTGCTTAGACGTGTTTGAAAATATAAATAGTCGGCTTAGTAAATGAATATTTGAGAGCTGAAATAATAACGAGTGCCGCTGGCCACTTGCCCCACCTAACTCAGCCGGTACGACGCGCGCACTGATGGATGAAAGTTGGTCAGGCTGCTGCTGCCGTGTACTGCTTTGCTTGTTTTCCCTCCCTCACTGTTAGTTCCGTCGCTTCACCCTGTGCCTCTTGTTGTGCCCTCTGCTCTCTGCCTTGCTTGTCCTGCTGCTCGCATCGTCCTGTTGCTCTGCAACGTTGCCGGAGCACGCCGCGCGGTCCCTGAATAATAGAAGTTGGCCGACCCTCGTGTTGCTGTCCCCTTCCTTGTCTATTTCTACGGCCGGCCCCAGCTTTCATCCGCCAGTCGCTCCTTGTTTCCCCGTTCTTCTCTGCTCTGTCTGCCTCTATCTTCGATTGCATTTCTGAGCCGAGCTGCTACCGCCGCCGCTGGCTCATTTCCTTCCCTCTTGAAAGCTCTAGTTTGGTTTTGGTGAATTGATGAAACCCTAAGTGCTAACCTAGTTTATCAAGTGATCATGATATAGGTAGCACACTCCAAGTGGTGAAGCAAATGAAGATCATAACATGATGATTGTGATGCCATAGTGATGATCAAGTGCTCGGACTTGGAAAAAGAAGAAAGAGAAAAACAAAAAGCTCAAGGCAAAGGTATAATTTGTAAGAGCTATTTTGTTTTGGTGATCAAGACACTTAGAGAGTGTGATCATATTTAGGATTGATAGTCGTACTATTAAGAGGGGTGAAACTCGTATCGGAATACAGTTATCAAAGTGTCACTAGATGCTCTAACTCATTGCATATGCATTTAGGATATAGTGGAGAACTAACACCCTTGAAAATGTTTGTGAAAATACGCTAACACATGTGCACAAGGTGTTACACTTGGTGGTTGGCACATTTGATCAAGGGTGAAGAAGTTAGAGGTGAAATGGAGTTGATCGCAATGATGCTGGCGTCAGTCTTCTGACCGGACGCTGGATCACTCAGCGACCGGACGCTGAAAGGTTGCGTCCGGTCGAGCTGTCAGACGACACAGTGATTAGGGTTAAGCACCGGACACTGGGTTGTGTCCGATCAAGCGTGACCGGACGCGTCCGGTCGGCAAAAATAG